CTTGAAGCACAACCATGAAGCAACACTTATCCCTTGCACCCCTTCTCTTCATTTGCATGGATTTCCATGCTGAACACTTAATAACTCCTCCACAGTTACCCCCTTCATTACCAAGCTGGACTGGCTGGTGGTGAAACCATCTTGGACACAGGAGAAAGAGTTTCATAAACAGCAGCATCATGTTACAGATTCCTTTGATTTGGCTCATCTTGTGTTTCTTGGACGGTAAGAGAGGTGTTGTTCAGTCTGAGTTTCTCTCTCTCTCTCTCTCTCTATATATATATATAGATTGATTTTGACATATAAATCATAAAATGTACCACAAAACTTATCACTTATACAATCTTTTTGGACTTCCATCAGCACCTCTGATGATCCACCATTTTAACCACTTCTTATGCATTTCTTAACTTTATATTGCCTTTACATCTCTTAACAATCATCCTCCCCCTTCTCCATTTTTGCAATACTTCCAATAATACTCCTCACAAAACTTTTTGCAAACCTACAAACCTCGTCTGATCTTCACAAATACTTTTCAAGTAGTCCGTAAATTTACTCCAGTCTTCCGTGAATTTATGGTCCCGCCGGTTTCGAATCCTTCCTGTTAGTTTATTTAGTTCTGCATAGTCCATTAACTTCATTTTCCATTCTTCAATCGTCGGTAATTCTTCTTGCTTCCATTTTTGGGCCAGTAATATTCTTGCTGCTGTTATTGCATATAAAAAGAGCTTGCATTCCTTGTTCTGTCCGAGTTTCTCAGGCAAATGTTGTGGACTCACCCGTGTGCTTTATTCCTTTCCTTCCAGAATCCAGGGGGCAGATTGTCATCACTCAGACACCAGCTTCTATACAGGCAAGTCCTGGGGACGCAGTCACCATCCAGTGCAAAGCTTCCTCTTCTGTCACTAAATATACAGTCTTGTATCAGTTTAAATCAGGACAGAAACCCAAGCTACTGATTTATGATGCTACAAACCGTTTTGAAGGGACCCCCAGATCGCTTCAGTGGCAGCTACGGCACCACTGACTTCTCGTTCACCATCAATGGCGTCCACGTCGAGGATGAAGCAGAATATTACTGTGGACAACGCCAAAGCTTACCTTTACACAGTGATACACTTTAGTACAAAACAAGCTCAGTAGTCTCAGATACCAAAAAAGAGACAGCAGTCGGTGTTTTGCAGCAGCAGCACTTAGTGGCAGAACATCTGCTTTGCAGTCAGAAGGTTGCAGATTAGATGCCTGGCATCTTCAGGTCCAAACCCTCCAACAATTCACCGATGAAAATAGGGACATCTTAAGGGAAAGCTTGGGCTCCGTGATCACTGCAGATGGTGACAGCAGTCACGAAATTAAAAGACACCTGTTTCTTGGGAGAAAAGCGATGACAAACCTAGAGAGCATCTTAAAAAGCAGAGACATCACCTTGCTAACAAAGGTCCGTATAGTTAAAGCTATGGTTTCTCCCAGTAGTGATGTATGGAAGTGAGAGCTGGACCACAAAGAAGGCTGATCGCCGAAGAATTGATGCTTTTGAATTATGGTGCTGGAGGAGACTCTTGAGAGTCCTGCAAGAAGATCAAACACATCCATTCTTAAGGAAATTATCCCTGAGTGCTCACTGGAAGGACAGATCCTGAAGCTGAGGCTCCAAGACTTTGGCCACCTCATGAGAAGAAAAGACTCACTGGAAAAGACCCTGATGTTGGGAAAGATGGAGGGCACAAGGAGAAGGGGGACGACAGAGGACGAGATGGTTGGGCAGTGTTCTCGAAGCTACCAGCATGAGTTTGACCAAACTGCGGGAGGCAGTGGAAGACAGGAGTGCCTGGCGTGCTCTGGTCCAGGGGGTCACGAAGAGTCAGACACGACTAAACGACTAAACAACAACAAAGGAAAAGGGCCTTCTGGTGGTTCCCTCATTGTGAGAAGTGAGGTTACAGGGAACCAGACAGAGGGCCTTCTCGGTGGTGGCGCCCACCCTATGGAACACCCTCCCTTCAGATGTGAAGGAAATAAGCAGCTATCCTAATCTTTAAAAGACATCTGAAGGCAGCCCAGTTCAGGGAAGTTTTTAATATTTTACGCTGTACTGTTTTTAACACTTGATTGGGAGCCGCCCAGAGTGGCTGTGGAAACTCAGCCAGATGGGCGGGGTATAAATAATAAATTATTAATATTATTAACAAGAGAACCATAACAGACAATTGAAGACTAAGGTGAAGGAGATCATGAAAGGAAGTCAGCTATGTCATGTGCTGTTGGTGAAATGAATCCATGCAGGGACACTCACAAAAAAGAGAAGTGGCTCATCTCTCTCATACAGACACACGTCAGATACTCACAAAGGCCTAGTTTGGATAGCAAGTTAAACTATGGTTTGGTATTCCAAGAACAAGGCTTGATTTCATAAGCTCACCCCCATCCTCTCTCCTTCAGCATAGCTGTGAGGAGGGATTGGAAAATTTGACTTCCATTTTAACTAATCGCATTTGCGCTTTTATATCCAAACCCAGACAAACTGTGGCGAGTATTAGCTATGGTTCTTCTTCTTCATCATCATCATCATCATCATCATCATATATTATTTGTACCCCACCCATCTGGCTGGGTTTCCCCAGCCACTCTGGGTGGCTTCCAACAAAGATGAAAAAGACATTAAAATCTCACACATTAAAAACTTCCCTGAACAGGGCTGTCTTCAGATGTCTTCTAAATGTCAGGTAGTTGTTTATCTCTTCGACATCTGATGGGAGGGTGTTCCACAGGGTGGGTGCCACTACCGAGAAGGCCCTCTGCCTGGTTCCCTGTAGCTTTGCTTCCCGCAGTGAGGAAACCGCCAGAAGGCCCTCGGGGCTGGACCTCACTGTCCGGGGCAGAACGATGGGGGTGGAGACGCTCCTTCAGGTATAGTGGACCGAGGCCATTTAGGGCTTTAAAGGTCAGCACCAACACTTTGAATTGTGCTCGGAAACGTACTGGGAGCCAATGTAGGTCTTTCAAGACCAGTGTTATGTGGTCTCGGCAGCTGCCCCCAGTCACCAGTCTCGCTGCTGCAAACCAAAATTAAAGCAGCAAACTATGGTTTATAAAGCTGGCTTGTTTTCCTACAGTTTAGGCAAGCCACAGTTTAGGATTCAGACATAACAATATACTGCAGTTCATTAAAAATGGAAGTGAAATCTTACAATCTCTTCCTCGCAGGTGTGCAAGAGGAGAATTGCATGTGCCTCAGGTTTAAACCTTGGTTTAATCCTAGGTAGATCTAGGGACTACTTGGTGTCTGCTTCCAAATGTGGTTGGACTACAACTCCCATCATCCCTAGCTAGTTGGACAAGTGAATGGGAATGATGGGAGTTGTAGTCCAACCAAATCTGGGGACCCAAGGTAGGCTTAGAGTGTATTTAGCAACAGCAGTTTACAGCCTCTCTGACCCTTGCAAAAAAAAAAAAGTCAATTCTCATCATATTTCTTAAAATCTTTTATCATGGATGTACGTAGGAAAGTCCTAACGAGAATTTTGGCCATCATAATAAAGAACAAGGTGCAGTCCTATTCATGAGATTTCTCCCAGATAGCCATGTTTAGTTTTGCAGCCTAAGTGGAGAAAACAGATGTTTTTCTTTGTTAAAGCGTGTTCTCCTTCATGGAGAGCACGTGTTGCGGTGGGGTCTGACAGGCCACCCCTCTGTTGCTGGGCGGGTTAGTATGGATGACCATCTGCAGGGATTGGGCAGTTGGGTTACTGGGCAAATTTTGGTGTTGCCATTTAGGGGGATGGACCAAAGGTTATAAAATCAAGTCACGCAGCATTGACTGGGCTCTTTTGCTGCATGCATCGGATCACCCTCCCACCTCCCTAATCTAGGGCTATTGTGTTGACTTTGCTATGGGTGTGATGGGGTCGTCTGCTTTTGGGGCAGGGGTGCCTGGTAGGAATTTTGTCCATTTGGCTGATTGGCTGGTGCCATTTGGTTTTTGCCTACTGCGTAGTAAATTGTCACAACTTGTAAGGTTGCGGTTAGTAAAGGTAAAGGGAGACCTGGCCATTAGGTCCAGTCGTGACCGACTCTGGGGTTGCGGCACTCATCTCACTTTACTGGCCGAGGGAGCCGGCGTACAGCTTCCAGGTCATGTGGCCAGCATGACTAAGCTGCTTCTGGCGAACCAGAGCAGCGCACGGAAACACCATTTACCTTCCCGCCGGAGCGGTACCTATTTATCTACTTGCACTTTGACGTGCTTCTAACTGCTAGGTTGGCAGGAGCAGGGACCGAGCAACGGGAGCTCACCCCGTCGCGGGGATTCGAACCACCGACCTTCTGATCGGCAAGTCCTAGGCTCTGTGGTTTAACCCACAGCGCCACCCACGTCCCAAGGTTGCGGTTAGGCATTGGTTAAAAATTGGTTGGTGGAGGGGTAAGGGTTGGCTGTGCCTGCCCCTCCAATGCTGCTGCGGAAGGGAATTCCGTTAAGGAATCCAGGGGCTTGCCATTCTTTCGTCCGTACCCCTGAATGGGGCTTGGGCCGCGCAAACCCCTGGGAGCATGCGGGGAGAGGTGAGGGTCTGGTGCCCGGGCTCCATGCTCCCCCCAATATTGTTTTCCCTTACTGGCTTTCACTGGAATCTGGAAGTCAGTTCTGTCCCGGGACAGAAAGTCAGAACCAATGCCTAAGCAACCACTCACATTTATGTATTTTAATAAAGTTATGGCCAAAATTATGCCCGAACCTTAAACAAAAATTATGTGTGAATTGTGAATTATTTAGGGGTGGCTTGAGGGGACCTCGACACGCAAAAGACAAGGCAAGGCCATCTTTTAGTCAGTTCAGCTGGTCCTGTGTCTAGTGCCTCAGTTTTTTGGTGCTCTGCAATGCTCTAAGAAGCAAATACTATAAGTTCTGGTTTGCATAGCATTTTTTGAAAGCTTTCCTCCAGGGGTCACAGCTGAAAGAAAACTTGGTCTTTTTGTCAAGAGAGCAGGTCTTGCTAAAGCACTGTGTTACACTTTCGGTGCCGGGACCAAGCTAGAAGTGAAACGTAAGTCTGATTTTTCCGCTGCTGCTTTGGGGTGCTGAGTGTGGGAAGTCTGTGTTTTTACTGTAATTTTTGATCAGTGTTGGAAAGCAGTGAGGCGAACCCTCTACGCATGATGGGGAATGGATAACAGTGTATTGCAGTGGAATTTTGAGTTGCTCGGGGCAGTGAAAAATGTCAGCATGTGGGGCAAATCCATGGGGCAAAAGCTGTGGTTCACTCTCAGCGATGGGACCAAGGGGGGAAAAAGAGTGTGCTTTACGTTCTTTTCTCCCCATCCGCCAACATCTAGGGGCTCTGCATGAAAATAATGCTAGCGGAATTTCTAGCCAAAGTTGAGGTGAAGATTAGAATGACTTCTGTAATAGGACTGAGTTGGTATGAACTTGTGAAAGCTCATACTTCACCTGACTCAGTTGGAGGAGCTTGAGCCTCTTAATCTCAGGTTGGTGGGTCCGTGCCCCACATTGGGCAAAAGATCCCTGCATTGCAGGGGATGGTCTAGATCAGTGTTTTCCCAACCTTGGGCCTCCAGCTGTTTTTGGACTACAACTCCCATCCCTAGGCTAGCAAGACCACTGGTCAGGGATGATGGGAATTGTAGTTCAAAAACAGCTGGAGGCCCAAGGTTGGGAAACACTGGTCTAGATGACCCTCGTGGTCCCTTCCAACTCTACCAACC